AAATACTGCAGGTATACATATCTGGTAAGGTTTCTATATATATATATATATATATATATATATATATATATATATATATATATATATATATATTCAGTTTACATATTCATGCTTATCTTGCTTATATTGCATTGCTTATCATATAGCTTTCATTGCTTTTCTGACAAATTATGTCTAATTTTATCCTTTTGCATAATATGCTTTTTATTTGAAGACAAAAACAGAGAAAATAACATCGTTGTCAAAGGAGGAAAATAGATTTAAACCTCACAAGAAGAAGAAGAAGAAAGAGTATTTTTTGTATTGTACATCTATATTAAATGGTTGCATTCAAATATTTATATTTTTATTTATTTAAATGACTCATTAAGCTGTTACATTTATGTTAATATGCATATATTTGGTTACCAGGCAGAGCTGCTTAATATTTAAACTACATGTGGGCCAAGTGAATCACCTCTTTGACGTGATGTGGCAAAGACACAACCTCCTTTGAGAGAGGAGAAGATTTCAGTTGATGGTTTTTGGACAATTAAATATTGCATAGTTCGGTTTTAAATTTTAAATGGGTGGGTATATGAGAGTGTCTCTCCAAACTGTAAGCTTTTTGCATCCAGTAAAGCACATTAAAACAAAATGTGATTGCAGCAAAAAAAAAAAAAAAAACATTTTGCTTTTGAAAAACAACGATTGACACTGTTATTTGACAATTCAACCTATTACTTTTTTATTCTACTAAATCTACAAATGAAAAACATTTCTGCTAGTGTTCTTCAGGCGTCAACTGTTTTGTTATTGCATTTTCTTGAGTGGATGAACAATAGCAATAAGTGTGTGCATGTGATTTGTGGCTCTGCATTGCACCAGTTGTACTAATTCATTTAGTACTTTCATGATTATGAACCTCGATCTTGAAGGAAGTAGAAAGTATAATTCTGTTTCTAACAGGGGAAATTGCAGTCTGGCTGTGCAGTTCATATAAAAGTGAGATTGAAGGAGAGCAAGAGTGAGTTGACATGTGAACATGCTTTGCTATAGGGGATTAGATTCTGCCATCGAGAGAGGAACTATCAAGGCATGCAATCTGCCTGGCAACCGTTGCTGTGCAGGCATGAGCTCTCTCTGCTGTATGTGAGAGAATTTCTAGCCCTGAAAGAATCCCCCTCCCTTTCTCTCATTCTTATCCATTCTCTGTGCAAGAGGTCATAACCCTGACCCAAAACATGGTCACCATTGTGACCCCAAGACAAGAGGTTTTGCCATCAAGTCTCTCTCTTTGTTTTTTTTTTGTGTGTTTTTTGGAGGAGGGGAATGTATGGAGGCACTGTCATCCATCTCTGAGAAATTCATCAGACACAATACCATGGTTTACCATTTTATTAGATAACATGGTAGTAAATGATTACTATATTCTTCTCTTACCTTGTACCATGGTATTTACAAAGTCATTCAAGCTTCTTCAAAGTATACCATGGTATATTCTGTCACTTTTGTCTTAGTTACAAGTATAATGATGTGACTTTTTCTTTCTGATTTTGACAACGTCAACTGTTTATCATATTTCTAAATGTAATTTTTGCCATAGATATATTTTAGGTGTTATTAAACAATAAATCAATCATAGTTTTTTTTTTCCTGGAGTGAAAAGAAACTACTACAATCAATCACCATAACCTTGTAGAGGAGAGACCACTGTGATGTTTTCAACTCCCACCCATGAGAAATAGCAAATACAGCTGGTGCTCTCATGATTTGGGGTTTAATCTGTTCTTGAGCAAACACATTCCCTATGACCATTATCCCTCGGTTAAAGTTACTGATCATATCAAATTAAATTATTCTTTTTATTTTAAACCTATGCTTTATTCAAATTAGTCTTAATTCCCTGCTCTCTAATAGTCAGTTTTCTGCCCATGTTCATCTGAATGTGTTCAACATGAGCTCTTAATTCAGGTTAGAACATGGTAGGTATGGAGTCTGGGTTTGGAGACTAGAAAGTCTGATGATTCTCTGTGTGTAGAGACTGAGAGGTTTTGTGAGGAGAAGTGATGCATTATGGAAGAGGTCTTGGAGTGGGCTGGAGAGATGAGAATGCCATGGAGAAAATGGTTCTTGTCTACAGAAGAGTGCATATATTTAAGTATATCAAGCTATTTAAGTAATTGTGTGTATAAATGTGTGTGCTTGTCTAATGACATTACAGATATGATGTTCATACTGTAAAATAGTGAATCACAGGACAATGTCTGCTTTGGATCTTGTGCGTATGTGTGTTTAGGTGAGTGTGTCAAGATTTTAAAAGCTGATCATTTCATCTGGGGTGCACAAAATGAGCTCACATATTTACACAGATTCACACTGAACCCATTATTTCCTTTACTCACTCCCATTTAGAGGTACATAAACCCTCCAGCAATGAACTTTAAACAAACCTGCACTGCAGAGGATTCTCAATTGCAACTGTTTTCTGGGGAAATATTAGGAACATACAACCTCAATCCGCAAAGGCACGGGTTAAGAGGCATAGAGCCAAAAGTCTGGATCTGTGGCACGCGGATACTTTTTAGTTCAAATCAAAGCATAAATAAATGTAGAAAATGTATCTGCGTGCCACAGCTGACACAGAACAGCATATGCTGTTTGCGTTCAGTGGATACTCTCCAAAATGGTGCTAGGGTGACGCGGAGGAGACAAATTGTTGAATAAAGTCGTTATTTTTGTTTTCTTTTGCACACAAAAAGCATTATCGTAGCTTCGTAAAATTACGGTTGAACCCCTGATGCCACATGGATTATTTTACCGATCTCCTTGCTATGTTTCTGGACCTTGATCGTTTAAGGCTCCTTGCTGTCTATGGGCGGGTCAGAGAGCTCTCAGAATGCATCAAAAATATCTTAATGTGTGTTCCGAAGATGAACGAAGGTCTTACAGGTTTGGAACAACATGAGGGTGAGTAATTAATGACAGAATTTTAATTTTTGGGTGAACTATCCCTTTAATGGAATAAATCAGTATCTTCAATAAATGTGGGTGTGACCCGAATATTTCTGCAATTGAAGCAAGGCTGTTAAAGGTCAGTCGTGTCTAATTAACTTTTAAGGTCTTAGTCTGCAGCTATTTCTACATGATGAGACTTATCAAATGCAATCATTGGTGTAACCTAATATAGTCACGTTCATTAAGTCGTATGAGATGAAAACATGTGACAGAAGACACTTAACAAGAAATCAAAGTTTCACAGAGATCTGACCATAGGTGACGCTATAACAGTCATAACTGTTAAAAATCATCATATTTCTTTGGTAAATGACCTGCATTTGCCCAAAATGCTATTTTTAATCATAGATTTAAGTGGTTAAAGCCATGTTAACAAAATCTTTTTCCTTATGTGCTTCAATGCCTTAACTGCTTGAACCCCGGTAATCGCTGCTTGCAGCTATATTTTATTTTTGTTTTTACTTAGGTGCTATCACATAAAAGGTGTTGTTTTGCTAATTATTCCTAGATTTGTCATGGTATGACTTTTTCCTACAATGTTCTAAGATTAAGGTTTAGTTATGTGGGTGCATGTGTTTGATCTTCACCATCTTATCACAATGCAAATCTAGCCAATGCTCCTATAGCTATTCTATACTTAACATCTAAGGCCTTGACGGCAGCAGTGACCTCAAAAAGTTTCCCTGTGTTATCTGCACCCACCCACCCACACACAAACACTGACAGCACTCCATCTGTCTGTATCTCTCAATGGGGATAAAGCATATCATGGGGGAGGCAATGCAGAAGCTGTATTCTCTGCTTGCCTCCAGTTCTCCACTTATATCTGAAGGTGACTCATAAAACGCACCTATACGCATTCTTCCAGTGGTATAAACTCATTAACCCTCTGGGTAAATTTTGTATCTAAATACAGTAGATATCAGAAGATGTTCAGTCACACGTACCTTTGAATCAGGCTGTAACATTTTTGGTAACACTTTACAATAAGGTCCCATTAGTTAATGCATTAACTAACAATAATGAGCAATACATTTGTTATTTATTATTTTTTGTTAACGTTAGGAAATATAACTGTTATTAATGTTAGCTCAGTTCCATTAAATAATATTAACAGAACTTTTGATTTTATTAATGTATTAATAAATGAACTAAAATAATACACAAGTGTTTAAGAAGTATTTTTCATTGTAAATTCTTGTTATAGTGTTCAAAAATTAATTTTATTGTAAAGTGTTACCTTCTCTCCTTTTTTATTTTTGTATGTGTTAGTCCAGAGATGACCCATTTTCCAAAACAATAATTAGTAATTTGATTAGTTTACATAAATAAATAAATAAATAAATATATTTCTACAACCTGTCAAAAGTGAATTGGAAATTAATTATGTTTTTCCTTTTTATCAAGTGTGTGCTTTATGTGAGCAGACTAATTAACAGGCGAATAAATTAGCTCTGAAATGCAGTTTCATTCACCACATATCTCCTGAGATTTTTAAAAATTATTTATTTATTTTTAGCATATTATGTAGAGCAAAAAGTTTCATAACACCTGTTCTCCTTAAACACACACACACACACACACACACTCACTCACTCACACACACAGAGACAAATGTAATTGCCATTTTTAAATGTTTTCAATTTATAAGCTATGAGCAAATGTATTCTTTGTTTTAAAACAGGATATTTTGTCTGAAAATCCCTAGCCAAGACAATGCACAAGGATGGATGGATTAGGAAGAACTTTCCTCATAATGAGGCACCAAACAAAGGGACATTGTCTCGTTGTAAATCTTTGGTGAGTGGGACACCATGCAGAGTCCTCCATCACTACGGCAAAGAGGAGGAGGGAGTCGGTGGAAGACGTTCTCATAAGAGAATATCACCTCCTTAGCATTTCAGCTTCCACGCCCCGCGTTATCCCCACCGCGCTCCCCCAGTGCCCGCTTTTGTTCGTATCACAACAATCCCAGAACAGATGGTGCTCTGCTTGGGAATCGAGTGACAGCCACCGGCTAGCAACCAATCGGCTGCTCGGGAATCAGCTGACTCGCCTGGACAGCGCCAGGTGCTGTCATCATATTTTCATTGGAGACGCAGCACGGGCTCCACAGTAACACAGAGACACTGCGGATGGGAGCCAGTCAGCGGATTCCCGTTGCAAGGATCCATGCAAAACCTGACCATGCGCTTGGCGAAGGTTGCACATGAATATTCGCGGAGTGGATGTAAGGAAACGATGCCACTGTGAAGCAGTTAATTATACAGAACTTACGAGCGACGTGATGGTATTTATTATCTATGGATTTTGTTTCAGTGCTCATTCGCAAGGACATATATACTGTTTCTAGATACTATAAGTGCATGCATCAGTCAGCTCGGAGGGAGGACTTCAATGCCATTCGGAACGTGTAGGCTGGCAAACCAAAGAGGTATGTAGATTTTGAAGCATCCATATCATATATGTAGCGATTCTCTTTATGCATCTATGCATGTTAAACCAGAACCATGGGCAACTAAACAGGTTCCATCATGCGCAGTGCAATAATTTAAAAAACAGTAGCCACTTGCAAAATCTTTGTCTGTAAGAATGAGCTGTTGTTTTAAAGTAACTCAAAAATGTGTTTCCTTCAGGTAAAAAGAAAATAGATGGTATCTATACTGCTTAGCTTTTGAGGTGTATGGCAAGCCGTTTTAACATGTATTCCTTTGAACTTCTATAATATTAATAAATATAAATATTATATAATAAAATTTAATTAATATAACAATAATAATAATAATAATAATAATAAATTATTTATAAGTAATACTTATTTATAATTCGCATTTTTATAAATAGTACTATGATAAATAGGGTTTTAGTTGTAAAATTATTATGAAGCAATCCAGTGGTGAGGTCATCTTTTTCAGTTTCACTAGCAACTGATACTAGCAGGCTACTTATTTAGACGCTAGAAACTCACAAATAGTTAATATTTTTTCCTAATAGGAAATTGTCCATAAATAGAATTCAGTTACAAAATTTTGCAGACTGGTACCACCAATGGATTAATTACTTGTTACTGTTTGGATAGCTGACTAGTAGCAAAAGAATAAATACTAGTATGTAGAGAATAACTGATGTGATACTAGCCAACATTAGATAACCTACAAGTAACTAGAATATAAAAAAGCACTAGTATTATAAAAATAATAATAATAGTTTTAAGGAATAATGTTCAACTGGCCTGCCATACGGCGTGATTTACTGCATTTAATTGCAAGGACGCATCGGCTGTTGCGCTTGAGATGTTCAAGGGCAAAACATGTGTGATTTTTCATAATTTATGGTTTGTTTATAAGTTCACACAGTTTATGTTGTATTTCTCAGAACAATAGTCTGGTAAAAGATAATACTACTACAACGTATGTGTGTGTATAAGGAGTAAGCAGAATGTGATGACCATGGTTAACGGGCGACTTTTTAAATCTTTATATCAAACTTGAATGCATGCAACGATACAACATTAACTAAACGCGTGAAGCGTTTGTTTGCAATATCAGTTTTACTTCTAATTCTATTTGATCATGCCGTTTGCATTAATTAAATTCTTCACAGTCACTCGTTTGTTATATTTAGCCTCCTGAGAGTGATTTTACATTGTAATTGTGGCAGAAATCGATCTCAAACTTCGAACAGATCCCGTTACTGCTGGCTTACCGCAGGCGCGCGCATGGGGTCTGGTTGGCGATGCAGAAATGTGATTTGCATCTCAATGTCGAGGCACTCCAGCAGATGTTTCGTTGCTAACTCATTCGAAATAAGACGCCACAACTTCCCTAGGAAAGACAATAAACACGGGAAGACGTCTTTTAGTCAGGGAAGGATGTATAATGGGGTTTGAGGAGGGGGTTTGTATTGTCCCTGGGGACGCCACCCCTTGTTGCAGCTGTTGCAGAAGTTGAAGAGAAGCGTCCTCATGAGCAACAACAAGGTAAAGAAAATGTCGGGCATATGTTGATGAATTTGGCTCTTTTTTGGAATTTTTCTGTCAATCCAAAACACTAGTCTTACTGCTGTTTACGTAAGACTATGTAAGGTAATATTAGATATTAAACAAAGATGTAAGGTGGTCTGGAGCTGTAAGAGGCCTGTTATGTGTTTTTCCTATAAATGTGCATGCCATGAATTTATCAGTCTTTTGGGATTGGAAGTAACAGTGGCCAGTGTTATAATGGTGAAAATAATTTATAAATGCATGAATTTTAATAATTCTGTTTTGTAAATTCATGAATCACCTCATTTAATTTTATGAACATAATGCATTTTTAAAAATAGTTACGTATTTAGATATTTATTTTAAACAACGTTTGTAATATACTGATATGAATTTTAAGCTTGTTAACTATAAGAAACTAACTTAGCAGTTCCAAGGATGCAACATTTTTAACCTATTTATTTATTGCACATTTTACGGTAAATCTCACAGCATCTGTACAGGAAGATTCAACTTATAGTCACATGCAATGACTCTAGAGGCTATTTTATTTATTGAGGATTCTATATATATAAATATATATATATATATATATATATATAGGATTTTTTATATTGAGAGTTTTAGATATTCCAAATTCTGGAATCCATTGGGTGATGTTTATAAGTGCAAATGGTTTGAAACACATAGTGCTGAAAAGAATTGAAATGGGACCTTGGGGGTTTCCCGTGCAGTTGCTTCTCAGCACTCATTTTTGTACAGTGACAGAGAGGACTCCATTTGATCGGCAATCAATGTTTTAATGCCATTCGCAATATTCCCCATCTTTACAGCACTCTACCGCCCATGCCATTACCCCACAGTTCAACCCTGGGCAAAGCTATGATTCACCATGCAATTAATAATACTCCTCAGATTAAGAGTTGGCAAGCGTAGACGGTCTTGAATGTTGGATGTGAAATGATCTGCTCTCTTGGCCCTTTGCAAAGCCTTTTTGATCCAAGAATAAAATTAATTACCATTAATTTCTCACTCACTTTCTGTTAAGTTTTTTAGGAAGTGAGCCCCTTGAGAAGATTAGCAGAGAAAAGACTGGAGTTAGTGACAAGATGGTCATTTTTGGAGATGACATTGTAAGTCATTTTAGCAGGCCTTTTGCGTTTCTCCACTTGTTTATTTGGACTTTCGTATTGTATGCTGGGAATGTATTTCCAGTGTTTCCTCTGCCTTCACAGAAAGTTGTGTGCATATAGAGGGTTATAAAAGCAAATACAGTTTCCTGGAAATGTATTTTCAGGATATTTTAAGTCCCGTAGTCTGTGAGAAACACAATCAGCCCTGTTCATATCTGTAGCAACAACATTTTTTTTTCTGTTGCTATTCATAAGTGGCTTGATAAATCACAGAATCAAATCATGAACAACAAATGACGTGTTCTAATGGTTGTGTGGTTTGTGTCGGGCTTGCATATACTAAATACCCTTATTTCTTATACAAGCATAACCCCATTAGTGCTATTGGTAGTAGTTAAAATATAGATTTTCTGTTAGATTTAAATTCATTTGAAAATGGCAGAATATAAGGGTTGCATCTGACCTATTATTTACTCATTTTAAACAGTGGAAAATACTGTAACAGTAGCAGTGTATATATTTAAACAATTCACACGAAAGTGAAAATTCTGTCATTATTACCCACTCTAATACAATAAAAATCAGTGGAATCCAGTCTTGTTTTGGACCCCATCGACTTATATGTTATATGGGCAAAACATTATTGAATATATCTTCTGTTGTAATACAAAAAAATGTCAAACAGGTATGGTGGGCTAAAATGATGACAGAATTTTTATTTTGGGGGAACTATTCCTTTCAGACATAATGCAAATTGAATGCCATGGATCAAGCAAGGATCATGTTCTGGTAAAAATTCTTAGTTAATTAGTTGCTATTCCTGGAAAATGATGGAATACTTTAGTCCTTCAATTTTTTTTTCATTTCATTCATCTGCCCCTCTTTAAATTTTACAGATAAGTTTAATCTTTCATCTTAATCACCTTATTAACGTCATTGTGTGATATATTGTATTACAACCTAGATAATTAGATAATGTATATTTGAATCATTGTATCATTTTTCTTGTTCAAACCTGTGAGATAAATGGACTGAAATTCTCCCACTGATTGATTTTTTCAATGTTAAAATAGTGAATTGCCAAAGTCACCCCTTACAATTTTTTTATTGATTTGACTTCCATCTTTACTAGTTTAGTGCCATTTTCAGTGTGAGGCGTCATTCTGTATTGCATTATGAAACACTTTAAGAGTGGTGCTGATAATTCTGATAACACAGGCCGGGTCCCATCTGTGTACTGCACTCTTTTGTGAGAATTGCTGAGACTGACAGTTACAGTCAGCTCTCATTCTAAATTGCCCTGATGCTCCTTTGGCCACGGGGGAGATCAGGCCTCTTATTGATTTCCACTCTCACATTAAAGGACTCATTTACACCAGCTGTACCATGTTTCCTCCATTCATTTTCTTGGGAGTATGAGGCGTAAATGTGTTCAAGCTGTCCAAGCTTGTATTTGTTGGTGGATTCAACTTCACAAGAGACTCCAAAGCTCGGAAGTGAACATATTGCTGATGTTAAGTTGGCATATGTAATCTGCATATCATGTGGGTGGAATTTTTCAAATCTTAGGTTTTCAAATCTTATGTTTTCAGGATGAGTGCAGTTCAGTTGTTTTGAATCTTGCCCTTAAGAAACATTAACAAGGATGAGCAACTTTTGTGGAGGAGTATCTGTTCGTAATGTAGGTGGTATTTGGCATGGACTAAATCCCTCTCGCTTGCTGTTTGTGTGCTTTAGTCAGCATTAGCACCATATGGGATAGCAGATGCCCCGTTCACTGCTCTGTCAAAGATACAGTAACATGCCACCTTTGTGTGCCTTTTGCTTGCAATGAATGCTTAATATCCTTGGTTATTTCATTCCAAACTTCAAAAACCCTTCTGGTGTTAAATAATCCTCAGTAATCTAGGACATCACATATTTCCTACTGAGTATGCAGAATCAAAAGTGAATTGACATGTGGCCAAGTATGGTGACCCATACTCAGAATTAGTGCTCTGCATTTACCCATCCAAAGTGCACACACAGCAGTGAACACACACAAACCGTGAACACACACCCGGAGCAGTGGGCAGCCATTTATGCTGCAGCGCCCGGGGAGCAGTTGGGGGTTCGGTGCCTTGCTCAAGGGCACCTCAGTCATGGTATTGAAGGTGGGAGAGAATGAACCAAGTCAAGCTTACCTGATTTAATATGATTGATTTGATATGGTTCGCATTTGTGTAACATCTTATTTTTATGTTTTTTTGTTTTACATAATTGCTGCAAAGAGAAGTAGTTTTGTACTTATTTAATGCTGTAGTTACCTAGATGGAAACCCATTTTGAATCAGGGTATGGTAATATCTTGACAGGAAAGACTATGAATAAATGTACAGAGACATTTCTACACCTCAAAAATGTTCAGTCTTTGTTTACAATAGCTATTGTTTGATCACCTGAGGAATAATATTTCCTTCCTTTCCTTCCTTCGGTCACCATTTCTTTCCTCTTTGATCCACCTCTTCAAGCATGTCAGATTGAAATAAACAAAAGCCTGTGCCTCTGTTTTTCACATTATCATTATATTCGTATACTGGTTTAATGTATTTGGAACAAGGATATCTAACAATTATGAAACTTAATATAGGTATTTGTAATGTGACAAATCTATTTCCAAGCTTACCTACTCCTTTCATATTTCTTCTGCATAATGCTTAGCTCATTTTGTCATTTTGTATGTAGTTAACATTTATAGTGGTAAACAAGTAACACAAGTTTTTTCGTAATGAACTGGCAGATTTTTTGGTAAAAAATGTACTTATTGTGTTCATATTGTATTGCAAAATACTTTTGCTGCTATTGATTTGAGAAATGGGTACGGTTAGGGACAGGTTTGGTGGTATGGGTAGGTTTAAGGGTGGGTTAAGGTTGGCATATGTAATCTGCATATCATGTGGGTGGAATTTTTCAAATCTTAGGTTTTCAAATCTTATGTTTTCAGGATGAGTGCAGTTCAGTTGTTTTGAATCTTGCCCTTAAGAAACATTAACAAGGATGAGCAACTTTTGTGGAGGAGTATCTGTTCATAATGTAGGTGGTATTTGGCATGGACTAAATCCCTCTCGCTTGCTGTTTGTGTGCTTTAGTCAGCATTAGCACCATATGGGATAGCAGATGCCCCGTTCACTGCTCTGTCAAAGATACAGTAACATGCCACCTTTGTGTGCCTTTTGCTTGCAATGAATGCTTAATATCCTTGGTTATTTCATTCCAAACTTCAAAAACCCTTCTGGTGTTAAATAATCCTCAGTAATCTAGGACATCACATATTTCCTACTGAGTATGCAGAATCAAGTCAAGCTTACCTGATTTAATATGATTGATTTGATATGGTTCGCATTTGTGTAACATCTTATTTTTATGTTTTTTTGTTTTACATAATTGCTGCAAAGAGAAGTAGTTTTGTACTTATTTAATGCTGTAGTTACCTAGATGGAAACCCATTTTGAATCAGGGTATGGTAATATCTTGACAGGAAAGACTATGAATAAATGTACAGAGACATTTCTACACCTCAAAAATGTTCAGTCTTTGTTTACAATAGCTATTGTTTGATCACCTGAGGAATAATATTTCCTTCCTTTCCTTCCTTCGGTCACCATTTCTTTCCTCTTTGATCCACCTCTTCAAGCATGTCAGATTGAAATAAACAAAAGCCTGTGCCTCTGTTTTTCACATTATCATTATATTCGTATACTGGTTTAATGTATTTGGAACAAGGATATCTAACAATTATGAAACTTAATATAGGTATTTGTAATGTGACAAATCTATTTCCAAGCTTACCTACTCCTTTCATATTTCTTCTGCATAATGCTTAGCTCATTTTGTCATTTTGTATGTAGTTAACATTTATAGTGGTAAACAAGTAACACAAGTTTTTTCGTAATGAACTGGCAGATTTTTTGGTAAAAAATGTACTTATTGTGTTCATATTGTATTGCAAAATACTTTTGCTGCTATTGATTTGAGAAATGGGTACGGTTAGGGACAGGTTTGGTGGTATGGGTAGGTTTAAGGGTGGGTTAAGGTGTAAGGGATGGGTCAACAGTGTAATTATAAATCTAATTACAGAAACTAATTACAGATGTAATTACATGCAGATATTTTTCAAATATAAGAAAATAATGTAAAAACATGTATGTACACAATAAGTGCATTGTACCAAATGATTAATTTAAATGTAAGTACATAGTAGTTAAGGCCACTTAATATAAAGTGGGACCGTGTTTTTTTTCATTGTAATTTTTTGCTTCATCCATGTGTATAAATGTTGTTTCCATTGTTTGAATACACACTTACGTCTCTTACATTTTTATTAGAATATGCTTATATACTTTTTCATGTCATGGGATTTTTCCATTGCTTATTGTAATAAGCTTTTCTCTGTTTGTATGTTTTTTTTCTAGGTCAACTCTCCAGTCCAAGTTTCAAGCTGTGAGAAAGTTTCAAACCTATGAGGAAGTTTCAAACCTATATGAGCCCACGGGAACTACACCCTTTTAAATCTTTCGGAAGCTCTTTGACTCCACTGTTCAAGCTTTCAGAGGGATAAAAGGGCTATTCTGCAACACTTCTATTGAATGAGAATCTCACCTCACCATCTTTTTGGCGCTATAGGAATTCCAGCTCAGATCTGAGAGGATAAACACTTACAGTCAGAATGGCAAGAGGGACTTTCTTTTTTGTTGTGCAGGGCCAGATTTATTTAATCCTGCTTCTGGCTTTACTTGGCCTCTCTTCAGTTCAGAGTACAGAATGTCCGCAGCTTTGTGTGTGCGAGATCCGGCCTTGGTTCACTCCCCAGTCCACCTACAGAGAAGCAACTACTGTTGATTGCAATGACCTTCACCTTACACGCATCCCCGGGAACCTGTCCGCTGACACGCAGGTGTTGCTTCTGCAAAGTAACTATATTGCCAGAACTAGTGAGGAACTGGAGCAGTTATTGAATCTCACAGAACTTGACCTGTCCCAGAACAACTTCAGCAACATCCAGGATATCGGCTTGACCAACATGTCACAACTCACAACGCTTCACCTGGAGGAGAACCAAATAGTCGAGATGCCTGACTTCAGTTTGCAAGATCTCACCAATCTACAGGAGCTGTACATTAATCACAATCAGATCAGCTCCATTGCACCCAATGCCTTCGCCGGATTGCGTAACCTTCTGAGACTCCACCTGAACTCCAACAGACTCAAGGCCATTGACAGTCGCTGGTTTGAATCAACCCCCAACCTGGAGATCCTGATGATTGGGGAAAATCCTGTGGTCGGCATCCTGGATTTGAACTTCAAACCTCTCACCAACTTGAGAAGCCTGGTCCTGGCAGGAATGGAGCTCACTGATATCCCAGGCAATGCGTTTATTGGACTAGACAACCTAGAGAGTCTCTCCTTCTATGATAATAAACTGGTTCGGGTGCCACAGACTGCTCTGCAGAAGCTTCCAAACCTGAAATTTCTGGATTTGAACAAGAATCCAATACATAAAATTCAAGAGAGGGACTTTAAGAACATGCTGAGACTGAAAGAACTTGGCATTAACAACATGGGAGAACTTGTGTCCATTGATCGCTTTGCCCTGGATAACCTCCCAGAGCTGACCAAACTCGAAGCCACCAACAACCCCAAGTTTTCCTACGTGAGCCGTTTAGCATTCCGTGACTTGCCATCACTAGAGAGTCTAATGCTCAATAACAATGCTCTAAACTCCCTCTACCAAGCAACGGCGGATTCCCTGCCCAACCTGAGGGAGATCAGTATCCATAGCAACCCGCTGCGCTGTGACTGTGTAATTCAATGGATGAGCTCAAACCTGACAAACATTCGATTTATGGAGCCTCTTTCCATGTTCTGTGCAATGCCACTTGAGGTTAGAGGTCAGCGTGTGAAAGACGTACTTTCTCGTGAATCTTCAGGCCAGTGTCTGCCAATGATCTCTCATGACACATTCCCCAATCACCTCAACCTTGATATCGGGATGACAGTAAATCTGGACTGTCGTGCTATGGCTGAGCCTGAACCAGAAATATACTGGGTGACCCCATCTGGTAACAAAGTCATGATGGATACAGTGTCCGATAAATACCAACTTAACCGTGCAGGAACTCTGCGCATATCCCACATTCAGGTGGACGACTCTGGCCACTACACCTGTGTGGCTCAGAATACAGAAGGAGCGGACACTCGGGTGACTGCCATTCGAGTCAACGGGACTCTTCTGGATAGCACCCAGCTTATGAAGATCTACGTGAAACACACAGAGTCCCACTCAATTTTAGTGTCCTGGAAAGTGAACTCCAATGTCATGATGTCCAATCTGAAGTGGTCATCCGCCACCATGAAAATTGACAACCCTCACATCACCTATACGGCTAAAGTTCCTGTAGATGTTCATGAGTACAACCTCACACACCTTCAGCCGGCCACTGAGTATGAGGTCTGTCTCTCGGTCTCCAATATCCACCAGCAGACCCAGAAGTCATGTGTTAACGTCACAACCAAGCATGCTACATTTGCGGTGGAGATCTCTGAGCAAGGCACCAATACGGCTCTGGCGGCAGTCATGGGCACAATACTGGCCATCATCAGCCTGGGCTCAATCACGGTATACATTGCAAAGAGATGGAAGAGGAAGAACTACCATAGAGACACAAGTGGAGCATTATTTTAGCCGAGTCCTGAATATTAGCAGATGGTAAATGCACTTTTCAGATTACCACTTTTGTGTTGAATTCAGGTTTGGTACAAATTCTTCAATTTACTAATCTCCTCTGTTATATGATTGTGTTCAGAATACTCAGTGTATACTTATATAATATTATATGACATCTAATTATGATGATAATATCACAAGCATGGCATTATGAATGAGGTGTGCAAATAAAATGCATTGTATCTGCATTTGCATCATGCTAATAGCTGCAGAGATAGGTAATTGCAGTCACAGCTGTTGGTTAAGGAGAATAAGAGATGGTTCACTGGAGCTGGAATAAAGTAAATTACCTTTCATGCTCCTCCAAGCATGGACATTAGGACATCTCCATTTATTGTACCCAGCCTGCTGTCTGGTGGGATCTGACTTGGTTGGTTCATAAATGAAGATATCTATTTGCTTGAGGTGGAGCTACCAGCAAGTGTTCTTGACCTGTTGACTGTAGATTGTTGCCACTGATTTAAGATTCTAAGATTAGAATGGAGCCCAGTTATGAGGTGGAAGGATGTAATCTTATTTTGTAAATATTCAATTGTGTCCATCCATCCTGCAATGGATGGTGTCGACATTTGAAAGAGTAGTGTAGGAAAAGATACTTGAAATGTCACTGAAAGTCATGGATTCTTCTAGCTGAGTTCAAGTCTTGATCTTATGGTCTTAAGATCAAGATTTTTGTCTTGGTCTTTTATAAAGCTTATAAATTCTATGTTTACTTAAAATATATAACTAGTATGCACGCTTTTCATTTACAATTAGACTTTGTTTTATTTATGATTTATGTTGATTTTAGAAAAGGTGCATTGCACATTGAAAAGGTGTTTTGAAATAGATAATATTTAAACTAAAATAATGTATAAAATAGGAAATAACACAAATACAGGTTCCAAACGTTTATTTATGTATTATTTATTTTATATTTATTGTATTTTATTGCATTTAAAAGAATAATTCACCCAAAAATGAAAATTTACTGAAGATGTACTCTCAATGGAGAAAGCAATATTATAGATAAAGGGCTTATATATAGCCGAAAGCAATGGTTTGAAGTTCAAAACAAGTTAATGATGGATTTGTTTATTACAAACATGCATATTTTCTCTTCACTAGACATTAATTGATGGACTGGAGTTATGTGGATTACTTGTGGATTATTGTGATGTTTTTATCAGCTGTTTGAACTTTCTTTCTGATGGCACCCATTCACTGCATTGCAGAGAATCCATTAGAGAGCAAGTAATATAATACTAAATTTCTCCAAATTTCTTCCGATTAACAAACAAACTCATATACTGTACATCTTGGATGGTCTGAGGGTAAATTTTCAGAAAATATTCATTTTTGGGTGAGCGATTCTTTTAATTAGGTAAACACTGAATGTATTTAATTGAAGTGTCTGAAGCATATTTTAATCAGATTATCAGATCAACATTAAAAGGCCAGTATTCTACAGTGATGGCTGCATTTGCTCTTTCACAGTCAATCTTTATTCTGCATGCGTGCTGAAATTCAGTCTGCAGGAATCTGTTGTATGTCCCCTCCCGACGGTCCTGTTTCTGCGGCAACCCACCATTTCTCTACCTGCCAAAACTGGCAGTGACATCTGTGAAATGCCTCCAGGCCCTTAGACAGAAATATCACTGACAAGGTCAACTCCCTGCAGGCGAAGAGCTGCAAAAATCACCTTGTAGCTTCTCAGAGATGTAAAAAAAAAAAAACTTAATTTAACCTAATTTTAAGACATAAAAGTAGAATTGTTTCTTTTTTTTTGTTCAGTTTTTTCCTTGCAGTTACTTTTTCAGAAGCCATCGTTTTTGTTGTTGTTTAAAACATCTTTTTTTGAAAACAAGACTGAGAAGAGAGATGGAGACAGTGACAGAGAGATGGAGCGAGGGACTTCTCTAACCTATGTGTCAACATAATCTCTGCTACGATGAAAGTGTGAGGATGAAAGGGTGGGTTTGGTATTAATCAACAGCGGACACTGACTGAGAGAGTTTCATCTTTACAGAGTGATATTTATTCTGTTGCAGTGGGACTTCACACTCATACTGTGGACCTCCATGACTTCCTGCAGAGAGTGCACCTGTCCTTCTCTCTCCGTCTTTCTGTCTCATGACAGTCCATCTGTGCTTTGTACTGAACAACACCCTTTAGTTGTGAGTATATTAACAGTACAGCACAGTTGTGAGTGCCTGTATAGCTGTATTTTATAGTTTTATAAAATAATTTTTACACACACACAAATCTATCTATCTATCTATCTATCAATCATCTCTCTCTCTCTATATATATATATACTGTATATATATATATATATATATATATATATATATGTGTGTGTGTGTGTGTGTGTGTATGATTATATATTTTACAGTATATTTATGCAGTGTTCACATTTTCTAAATACTATATTTATTCATTATTTATTTAATTATTAATAATTTCGATATATTTATATTACTGTACAACAGTATGGGGTACGATTTTATTTTTGCAGGAACTTCATACTTTCATTTAGCAAAGATGCAATAAATTGATCAAAGTGTCAGTAAAGACATTTATAATGAAAAAATAATAATACATATAATATAAAAAATATAATATAAATAAATGAGATAAATGCTGTTCTTTTGAACTGTCTGTTCATCAAATAATGAAAAAAGCAGCACAACTGTTTTGCCATTGATGATAATAACAACTTTTTCTTGATCATCAAATCAGCTTATTAGAAGGATGACACTGAAAACTGGAGTAATAATTTCTGAAAATTTAGCTTTGCCATCAGCAGGCATAAATGACATTTTAAAAATATTAAAATAGAAAATGTAAATTGTAATAATATTTCATATTGCTGTTTTTACTGTCAAATATATACAGTCTCTCAGTCTGTTTTATATATATATATATTATCAGCCTATCTTTTTTATATTTTAACATTTCATTCCTGTGGATGTTTCTAGCTGCGAGGATGAAGTGATATGGGCTAAAAATAAATGCGAGAAGCAAAATCTCACAGATGTCTTCAACAAAAAAATATTCCAGCATTGTTAATTATCTGTTACATGTATGAATTGTATGCTGTGATTTTGCACTAGAGGAGATTTCTCATAGGACCTAATTAACAGCTTCAATTGGCTTGCGGTGTGTTTTTAGTTTCCCAGCCAGTACTCTGAGATCAGGCATTTGTCTGTACTCTACCCCAATACAGCTCAAGCCCTTTTTTACATTTCAAATGAATGATAATAAGTATTTAAGACTTTTTGAACCATGTTTATTTGATGTATTCATGCTGAATTTGATCATGTCACTAGCTATATTTAAGCAAAATATTTCATTTTTAACTCCAGATCTGCACATAATAAGCATTAAGTGAGTTGCTTAGCTGGAACAGATGCTTCTTGACTTTCCCTCAGCATTGACATTTGAAGACAGCTCTGATGAATGGAAGCAGCCTGTAGGAGTATAGATGATTGACCATGGCAGATTCTCACTTCCTGCTCAAATGAAACAATGATGTTCCTGTGGTATCTGTGGAACAACTTGATTATGAGAGGAGGGGAACCTCTGGCCCTTATCAGGAGTCCCTGGACAATAAAAGTGCCACGTTACAGAGAAAAGCCATCAATCCTCACCTCTCGCTTCCAGTCGTCCCTCTCCACCATGAGTAGCTATATCTGCTCCCACCCTCAATGCAGTATTTATGGGTTAAAGGACAGCATCAAAGGCAGCCCCACTCCATCACACTTCTGTTGACCTAATTTCTGCAGAAATGGAGACGGTTTAAAGGAAGAAAGGGCTCTCTTAAGGGTTTGCTTCTTCTCTTTTAACATTTCTGGCTTCTTTTACCTTTTTTGTGCCTGTATGAAAATATTATCTAATTAAGGGTGTGAATGTGTGTTTTACAGACAGAGAGTGAATGCTGCTGTCCATACCTGTGTTGTAGCACATATTTCAAAGGAAGAAGCATTTGCAGTATCAGCATTCCCTCACATCACTGTAAGCATTTACTGTATGCATGACCTTGCATTGACTTTGACTCTAGTCTCCCCTCACAAGCCGAACTCCACCCTTCCTCCTAAACCCTGATTTAAAGAGATGGCTCACCCCAAACATGGAAATTCTATCAGGCGTTTGTATCATTTACTGTTCAAAATGCATTTTTAAAGGTTTGCTTTATTCCTTGGAACTCAAAAGAATTGGGTTTTCTGTATACAATAAAGCACAACATGGCAAGGAGGAATGCTTAAAGGCACAATATGTAATTTTTGCCGCTGAAGGGCGCATATTCAAAATAAACAAATAGACAAAGGCGTAATCTGATGACGCAGTGACTTGAGTGTGGAATCATGGGAGTTGTCGTCTTCATCCCCACAGCCGATGCAATCCGACGGGACTTGGGCAGAAATCATGTTTATGGATGAGCTAATGATTTATTAACGTAGTAGAATGAAGCAGGGTGAGGCTGAAAGCCGTCGAAGCGAAACGAGGCTGCTGAACAAGCGTGACACACGGCTCGAAAGCAGCTGAACTTTTATTATGTCACAGTCGACCGCTTCCGCTCCTTCCGGTCGTGCGTATGTGGGGAAAAAAAGCAGCGCTGTTTTATCATACTAGATACATTTGAAAGTTCTGTTATAATGCTACTCTGTGTGGTCGTCACTGGTCTATTAAAACGCACAACATATTAAAGCGCCTTTGGTGTTTCCATGTTTTCTACAAAACAAAACCGGAAATCGAGCGGTTATGACGTCATTGGCAGGCGACACAATGACACTATGTACACTGTCTGTGTCACTAGTTAAAATTGCTTATTTCTCTGGATTTAAACATTCTTCTAAACACTTGGGATAATGTAAGTACACAAGTCAGCAAAATATATAACACTGTTCTAGTGGTTTTTGGATATTTTAATAAAAAATCTTACATATTGTGCCTTTAAGTGCGAATTAGATTAGATT